TCTGCCAGATGAGCCGATAGGTTACAGGTGTGTGAGGACATCCTATTGCTGTCATAACCAGATGACATGAGTTATCAGGTGATCAGCCAGGCTAATGATGAGATGCAGAAAGAAAACAAATCCAGGACAGTGTACAGTAATAACATGTGGTATGTAGGAAGAATTTTTAAAGAAAATGCACCAAAATGCTAAAATAATGAATACACACATTTAAAACACTATTAGACATTCATTTATACAGTTAGTCAGCAAAGAAAATTTAATTTAGACGTTACTTGCTCTTTAAAACTCCAAATCGAGGTAGACTGTTTCGTTGCTTCTTAATTACGAAATAAAAGTTGCAGGCCTAGATCTTGCTAGGAAATGGGTTCATCAAGATGTTGACAGATGTGTGAAAGTAAGAAATTAGTGGGAGTGCAGAGTGTTTGAGCATTTTTTGTTTAAATGCATGTTCAGATAGAACTGCTTTGGAACCTTCATTTCTAGGCACACAAATTTCTGTCTGTGAAAAACAAATAAGATGTGGCAAGAGCTATGTGCCATGATCCCAGCACTGCACAGAAGTTCTTTGTGGCTCTCCCAGACAAGGAAACAGCTTTCAAAACCAGAAACCTCAGGATTAAAGCACTTCAGATGGCAGTTGACAACTTCAGTGAGAGCTAAATCCTGTGTTGATCAGGAAGTTTTGAGTGGGACAGACAGTACAAGCTCTGAATGTGAGGAACCTCTTTATGATGACGGCCCAGATTCATCCTCATCGCTGTCTTCTGAAGAGCTGGAGGATCTCGAGAGTAAACGTGTAAGGCTTCAAAAACAACAAAACAAACCACGCCTGCTTAAGTTGGCCTCATCTGAGGACGACGTCCCATCAGCACAACCTCCCAGCAGAAAACCACACCTGCTTAAGTTGGCCTCATCTGAGACAGACGTCCCATCAGCAAAACCTTCCAGCAGAAAACCACACCTGCTTAAGTTGGCCTCATCTGAGGATGACGTCCCATCAGCACAACCTCCCAGCAGAAAACCACTCCAGCTTGAGTTGGCCTCATCTGAGACAGACGTCCCATCAGCAAAACCTTCCAGCAGAAAAAGGCTAAGTTTCTCAGAGGGGCCATTTTTGAGTCCAAAACACACAAAGCGCATAATCAGCCCTTCAAAGATCTCTGTAAATTTGTCAAAGTTGAAGCCGAGTATTGTAGAATACTACACCTTGAAACAAAAAGCAGTCCACCCTCTCTTAAAAAAGCAATACCAAAAAAACCAACTCTCCATTACTCAGGGTGCTCCAAATGACACCCCAGCAGAGCCAATTCCAGAAACTCCAGTAGAGATCTTTGAAGACACCCCAGCAGAGCAAATTCCAGACATTGCAGCAGCGATGGTTTGACACCCCAGCTGAGCAAATTCCAGACACTCCAGTAGAGATGGTTATAGGCTTACTCTAACAAAAAAATAAATAAATAAACAAATATATATATATTTTAAAAAAAAAAGGTTATAGGCGTCCAAGATGAGGAACTTCCAAACAGTTCTGGAGGGTTTTTTGAGTTGGTCAAGATAAGCTGTTAAAATGCTTTTCATTTTGAGTTTGTACGTCAAGACTTATCTTAGATAATGTTTATAAAATGGTCCAGATAAGCTGCTTGGGGTTAGGGTTAGGTGGTAATAAAAAGCTGAAACACTCAGATGGCATCAAGGCGTGTGTTTTTAAATATTATATATTTCAGAATCAGAATCAGAAAACTTTATTGGTCCCCATGGGGCAATTAATTTGTAGCTTACCACACAGAATAACTCGCTCATAAAAACAACCAAGCAAACAATCCATTTATACAATCACACAATCACACAATGTGTGTCACTACCAACATGCCGAACACATCCTAAATGAAGGGTAGAGAATGAGCAGCAGCCCTCCAAAAATGGCACATGCTTAAAGCCGATGATACTTATTTTATGTATGTAATTGTTCTATAATTTATCAATTTTCTTAGTTCTTCCATATAATGCACATTTAATTCATAATATTTAAAATACAGGCTTATAATTCCTTCATGTTTTTCTGAATTGTGTGAAATGTCCAAAAAAATAAGAGGAAAAGCAAAACGATTTTGTGGTCACCCACCAAGGATCAGTTGGTTTAGTCTTGACTCCTGGTTGTTGTAATTGACAATTTGAAACCTGTTTATTCAGTCGAGTGCCAAGCCAGATGAACAGAAAAAGGCCCAAACCATCAGGTGCCCAGTTCAGACGAAGAGGAGAAACAGGCTAAAGATAAAGGTAGTATGTTCTCATGCATGTTTAAAAAAAATGTTTTTAAAACGGTTAACTGGGGATTTCAATGGTTAAATTCGGTCAAGTAATTGCTAACAGAGCAAACGGGGCTGAAAGTTTGAAACGAATGGTTCGAATAAATTCCTTGAATCCTTTTTTAATGATTCAAGCACAAGGATTTGATAAATGTGCACTGCGGCCTGCCTCCTGAACAACAACAAAAACACGTTGATAATGATTCATGTTCACATAATGAGTAAACTACAAGCAGAAAAAAGTCCCCAGTCCTAACTAACTGTCCTGTTATTAGCATTTCCAGTACTACTGAACATGTTAATGAAATACATTACTGGTCTACTGATCATAGTGTAACTGTGGATATATTCAGATATGTTATGTTATTTAGACCAGGATGATGAGTGATAATAATACCACCTAAAATGTTACTGAAATATAGGTGAATTTTGTTCTACAAAATATTAATTAACTATAAATATCAGATGGGAAAGGGGGAACTAGACAATACCCATTGATTAAATGCATATCATTTAGGCTTTTATAAGATTCTGACATCGCAGCCTCTTCATTTAGTTGTTTATTTTACATCTTTACCTGCAGACCACAGTCTTGTTTGGACAGATTTGTCAGAAGTGTGGCTCCTTCATTGCATTTGTTACACTGACTATTTTTCCCACATGGTTTGTTCAGTAATAAAATGTGGCCTTTCTGGTAGTCTACAGTATATTTTAAGTCAGTTTAAATTGCAGTTTCAGAGGAAATTCAAAATTATTTTGGATCATCATCTGCCACTGGTCAGGATGAGCTACCCACCTCCCCTGCTGGACAATACCTGCCATCTCCACAGCAGTTACAGCCTTGACCCTTGAGGAGCTTCCATCTACATCGTCAGCTACTAGGTCTCCAGAGTTATCTGCAAAGTTATCTGATAGTGAGGACATTGCTGCTTCTCTTTCTACCCATCATGAGCCTTCAGGTGTGTGTGTGTGTGTGAGAAGAAGGGATATATCTAGACTCCTAGCGGGGGGGGGGGGGGGGGGGGGGGGGGGTCAAGGGATGTCTCGCCCGGGGATTCCATGTACAACCGCCACTGCGTGGAGAGATGTGCGCACTGACGTTAATTAGTTCCAGCTGTTGTTTATTATGTACCTATTTTCTCTTCCACGTTTAATATGATTCCACCTGCCCTGTAGGTGGCGGTAGTGCAACCTGTTTACCAGCAAGTTCAACACCACCGAAGAGTGCAAGGGAAGTCATCTTTTCAATGTGCGTGAGGTGTGGGTGGACGGTAAGCTCATGACGTTTTCTTTCAAAATGTTTTCTTAAATGTACGCCTGGTGTACATTTTGCAAGATTTATATCAGCAATAGTGTGCTCATATGAAGGTCAAACATGTTTTATATAATTGTATCGTTACTTTGTTATGAAAGCATGTTTATATAAGAAAAACACTGTTCCTGTTGACAATATGAAACGTTTTGTCACATGTAAGTTAACCCTGATAACTTGGAGCTAATCGTTTTATGTTGATCGTTATACCAATTCTGAGTGATTCTCATGTGATTTTTGGTTCGACATGATTTTTATTACCTTGTGCTGCAAGATGAATTCTCGGGAGATTTCGAGTTTTCCAAACTCACTCACTCCACATCTGTGTCACTCTGGCTGCTGGATTCATTGTGTTGAGTGGCCTGTATGCTGGAGTTTAAAAAAGGGAAAGGTGATCAGACAGGCCTAAATGGGGAAAAGCTGTCGCTTTAAATCCTGTTTAACTTAAGATTTAAGAACTTATGAACCTCCATCTGTTCAACTCAAATGAATAGTCCAAAGTTTATGTGAAAGCTGTTTCAAATGAGCCATCACCATCATAGTTGCTTCCTCAGGATCCACTGATTTCCCTCTTTCCTTTTCACCCTCTCTTTACATTTTTAAATCACAAATGTCTTTTTTTTGCTCATTTAAAATATATTTTTAATCATTTTCTAAATTCTTTTTTTATATTTTGCATTTTTGTTTTTGTGAAGCACCTCATGATTTTTATCTTGAAAGGTGCTATTGAAAAGGTCTTTTCTTCTTCTTTGCTCCATCGCATCATTCCTTCCACCAAACTGATAGGGAGGTGTAATGTGCAAGACACCAGGCTGATCAAACCTCCACAGATCAATATGGAGCCTGGAAACACAGACATGCAGAGCCAAATCATTTTGCTTCTGCTACTAGTCATCTAGATTTCTTAGTCACTTATTAGTTGATTATATGAATTTAAAAAGTAATTTTAACATTTAATATATTTTACATTTTCTTCACAGTCTGGAATCTGTAACAATGATAAGAGACAAGGCAAAGGGATGGACAAAAATGAGTCGGAAGGAGTTGAGCGACACTGATGATCTCGCCACAAGTTTGGTCCTTGACCCATTGCTGGGCTTCCCAAGTCATAAAATTAACTTAAGTCCTCAATCAGTCATCCAATGTGGGGATTAACTCAAAGACACCCTCATGGAATTTCAGCGGACGTGTGATTTCAGTGCAACCTTTAAGGCCCTGACACGAGATGGAATCACTGGAAAGACTTAAGTCTTTAGGAAGGCATTAGCTGCGTTTACATGTGCAAAATGTCTTTAATCCGATCATTATTCGGATTAGAATATGACTGTGCACATGGGCCCTGGAAATTTAAATCCGATTATGTCAAGTGTTTACATTCGTCATAAATTTGATCGGAATAAACCATTTTGTCATGCGCAGATCGATCTATTACGCTGAAAAAGACCGTAGAAGAAGAAGTAGCAGACTTCCGCTGTAAACAAACATGGCTGCGTGTATGTAAAAATGGAGCACGACGATGTTTTTCGGAGCGTAATTTTATTTTTTGTCGTCACAATTTTACAAATACAAACTAAACTGTTTATAATTTTCCAGATGTTAAATAGGGGGAGACAGCAGGATGAAAATTTCTTAATACCAAGAACCGTAACTTTAGTCCCCCCTCCTCCTGCAAAGACAAGGAGCCACTGGATGAAAGTGAGGAGTAAAGACTGGTGGGAGAGGATTGTTCTTTTGGAGTTCACCGATCAAGAGTGGAAGCAGAATTTCCGCATGTCACGTGCGTCATTCATGAAACTTTGCTCGTTAATGGAGAGTTATATGGCTCCCGAGGACGTTACTGTGAGGGCTGCTGTTCCTGTCGTCATGCGGATTGCAGTAGTTCTGTATAAACTGGGTAGCTGTGCAGAATACAGAGTCGTGGCGAACCAATTTGGAATAAGTAAAAGCAGCATAACGAAGTTTGTTTACATGTTCTGCAAAGGCATGGTGCAGGGTCCAATCAAACAGTTGATCCGTGCACCAACTGAGGAAGAGGCAAAAGAGATAGCCAGACGGTTTGAAGCATCCCATCACATTCCACAAATAATGGGGCTTATCGATGGAACACACATTCCCATCCTTCCTCCTTCAGACGGCTACAAGGATTTTGTAAATCGTAAAGGATGGCCATCCTACGTACTCCAGGCTGTTGTAGATGACAAATTCAGGTAAAAATTACTACTCAATTACCTGCCATGTTCAGAAATAAATTAGTGGGGGTAGATTTTTCAGTAACCTGAGACCTCAAACTGCACCAAATTATTAGAATTACCCCTTCGTTTACAGCAAATCATGTGCACAATAAAGCAGTTTAATTTGTTTCATTTATTCCTCTCATGAAGGTTTTGGAACATCAGCTGTAAAATGCCAGGCAGTGCACATGATGCAAATGCCCTACGCCAGTCAGACCTCTTCAAAAGGGCTCATCTCCTACCCAAAGTAAGAAAACATGTTTTTGAATGGAGAGAGCCGCTTGAAATGACTGCTTGACTGGAGTTAAAAATACATCAATATGTGCTTGTAAATCACATATTAGTAAAAAATTACTTCATTCCCTTTTCTGTAACAGGGCATCAAGACCATTGGGGGGAAAGACACCAATCTTTTAATAGTTGGAGACCCTGCCTACCCACTTCTTGACTGGCTGATCAAAGGATATTCAAACTCACCTCGGCTGACTCCGGAGCAGGAGTCCTTCAACACCTACATCAGCTCAGTCAGGGTTGGAGTGGAAATGACTTTTGGATTGTTAAAGTCAAGGTGGAGGGTTCTGCTAAAAAGAAGTGACTTTCACTTCACCTTTGCACCGACCATGATTGCCACATGCTGTGCACTGCACAACTTCTGTCAGAATGAAGAAGATCAGGCCAGCAACAGCTGGTTGGAGGAGGCCTGTGATCGGGCAATTAATTTTCCTCAACCCAACCAGCCAGTTAATCTCCAGTGCAGCAGTTGTGGAAGCAGCACTAGAGAGGTGTTGACTACCTATTTGGCCACAACATTCCCACTCCGAACGGGACACCTACACTAAGTGTTTCTTGGTTCCAGATTTACAAAAAAAGTTCTAAGTTACACATTTTAAGTTCAGAATAATGTTTCCCCAAGTACTGAAAGGCATTATTTCCCCGGTTTGTACATATTATAGCACAAGAACAATGAAGCATTACTTTGTGCTTAAAGCACTATTTATTAATCCATTCAATTAAATGAACATTCTGCTGTACTTTTTGAACTTGACAGCTAGTGTTGTGTGAATACTCCTGAGACTCGAAATTAAACATTTTCCAAAGCATTTAAAGTTAAAAAAAAAAAGCATATACAGCGCTTTTTCATGTGGTGAACTCTGTGGAATTTTTTTGTCATCTAGGTCACCAAATCAAACAAAACATAAATATAACATGTTCTGACCTCAGAAACGTTTTTTTTCTTCTTCACCTGAGTTATACTTCAAAAATACTGGAACATATGAAGAGTACTTTAAAGAAAAGTTTGTACTTAGCTACTATTGTGAACATAAATAAAGTGCAAAAATACGTCTCCAGAACATCTACTCTATATTACTCAAGTTTGCTAATGCACTGCAACTACCATGGGAAGTTGCAGAAACCAACATGTCACAACTGAATTGTTTAAAATAACATACTACAGAACAGAATTTCAAATTGTGAATATCATTTTAGCTCAAATCTTGTAGGGTGTAGTCAGAATTGTAATTATTACTGTAGTGTTGTGCATTTTGGCCAAACTCAGCCGACCCAACGTAGTTGCGGTAATGGTGCTGCTGAGAGGAGTATGGAGCTACTGGTGGTGGAGGAGGTGGACGAATGATGGTTCTTAGGCCATCCAAAAGGTGGCCGACGAGTCGCTCATTTGACCGGGAACTCTCTTCAATGAACCGTGTGACAAGACGCTCCTCTCTCTGCAGTCTTCTTTCCTGATGTTCTTCAACCCACCTATTTTGGGACTCTTGCATTTTTTTCAAAAATGCTTGCTGTTCAGTCGACCAAGTGCACATAGCTTTGGCATATCCAGATGAGCTTGATCTTTTTCCTAAAAGTTAAAAAGAATTATAAGTGTGTGATATAGAAGACTGAATGTAGAAAAAAAATACACTGCCACCTATACAAAAAGAAAACATAGAATTATTGTGAAAATCAAACGTGGCTTTAGTGACCCCCAAACTAAATATTTAGTTAATAAGCTAAATGATCATTTTTTCATACTTAGGTATAAACTGTGACATTTATCAATTAATGAATAACATAGTAAAAATATTACATAGAAGAATAAACTCCCATTCATATTTCCTATAACAGTCCAAATAACCAAATAAACGAAATTTACTAGTGTTAATCTGGACTGGACATTTGGCTTTATAGCCTGCCATAGTCCCTTACTCAAGCAGTTAAACATGTGTCATCTCCACCAACAAAAAGCTATTATACTTTGACCTAATTTAGTCTCTCGAGCGATAACTTACTCTTTTTAATGGATTCACTAGATGGATGAGAACTGTCTCCTCCGTTTGTGGGCATCTGTTCAGTGGCTTCTGCTGCTTCGCTGCTGGATTCATCTGAATGACAAAAACCCAAGTCTGAAATTTGATATTCTCAAAAACGTTGTATGTTTTTTAAATGTGAGGTTTACAAACTTACCACTAATGCTATCTTCAGTAGCATCAAGGCTCTGGCTCACGGGTGTGTTACATCTGTCCACCACCTCGTCCTCGAACCCAACGTCCACGCCAAATAAAGGCACATTTGACAACGGCCTCGCCGCCATGAATTCGTCTATTGCGCGGTAGAAGGGAAAACTGGAAGGGTCGAACCCGCTTCTGCTGTTGTGATTCTTGGCTTTGTAGTACGCGGTCTTCAAACTTTTCCATCGGTTTTTTATCTGTTCAACCGTTCGATCGATCCCCGCTTCCTTCAAGCGTTCATGTACTTGAATGAATAACTCAGAGTTTCTAGACTTCCTACCATCAAGTCTTTCTACAATTTTTAGTTCTTTGAGTACATCCAGCAATGCATTTGTGTCCGAAACAGACCAGTTTTGTTTCGCACCCGCCATGTTTTCCGACTTCCGTAAACGACAACGTAACGTACGTAAACGTGTGACGTTACTGACATGCGCAGTGATGCGCAGTAGTCACTCGAGTGTTTTCATGCACCATGATCGGATTAACAATCGGCATAACCCAGCTGTCTCAATCGGAATGAAAAGTTGATCCGATTGAGTTTAATCGGGTCAGAGTATTCTGAATGGCTTGTTTACATGACGCATTTTAATTCCGATCAGGCTTTTATTCCGATTAAATGTGTCCATGTAAACGCAGCTACTGTCAGGCATCACTCAGACAACATGTCCATTGCTATCTCACTGTTATAGATATTCTTCAGAGATCAATGGAGCAAAGTGCAGGAGAGTGAATTGAGCTTTTACTGGGCTGCACTTCAGACATGTGTCCAACCGACAGCCATTTGCTGAGGGCTGGAGTCACTTATTTTAGTGTGATGTATTCCACACGAAAAAAATGCATGCAGCTGTGGCTTGGGCCTGCAACTTTTATTAATCATGACTGCAAACCAAACTGCAAGTATGTTCCTGTTGAGAGAAATGTAGAATATGCTCAAGTTATTCAAACCACCCTTCCCAGGGATGAATTAACACGTTACTATGATGATGGATATGAAATATGTGAATGCTGTACCTGTGAAAGGAATGGAACAGGCCACTTCAGAACCATTGGGGAAACGACCTGACTCTCAAACAAATACCAGTGGGAACACATTGCATTGGTCTGAGAAATAGATTAATTCCAAGGGTTAGGGTTAGGGTGGGTTAGGAACTGAATAAGAAGAAAGGCATGGTCCTTCAGGTGCACTGTCCATCAAGGGTCCCCGGGTTCCAACGGCTGTCCTTCCCACCTCACATGTCAATGTCCACAAGCTCAGTCTTATTTTAGTGTTAACCAATTAATTTTTCCACTCTCAGCTGTTTGTTGCTTGGCACCCCCATCCTTCTCTTTCACTTACTTTCCTTGAATAAGTATTAGGCTTGCTTTTTTTTTTTTTAGCAGTTTGGTCTTCATCAGGTCATTTGTTGCTACCCTGTTATTTCCTCTGTGTTTCCAGCATCTTCTGTGCTCTTCGCTCTGTGTTTTCAGCATCTTCTGTGCTTTTCCCTCTGTGTGCATCTCTCTGCTTTCTGCTCTGTGTTCTCAGCATCCTCTGTGCTTTTTATGTATGCACCTTGTGCATATCCCCTCTGTCCTGCAACATTATTAATTTCGTTAGGCACCCCCAAAGCTTTTCCTCTTTCCATAGGCACCCCAAAAGCTTTTCCTCTTTCCATGTGATCAACTCCTCTGTTTGTGAGCTTCTGCTTATCCTTGTGATGGCTCCTCCCTTTTATAGGCCTCATTCACCGGTATCCGGACATTCTGTTTCTTGGCTTTAAAATAAAAACTAATTGGTTTTAAATAAGGGTGGAGTGTAGGAAAAATTGTTTTTAGGGTCAGGAAGGGGTCAAGGGTCAGGGTAGGGGAAGACATTGGTTAGGGTTTGGGTGCGTTAGTAGGCAGGGTAATAAACATTAATTTTAATAGTTCCAAATTGGCCTGTGAAAGGGCTGCAGACACCAACAGCAAGGCGGTACCAAACCACACCGTCAGCCGGGGCACGGGCCATTTAGGAACTGAATAAGAAGGGCGTGGCCCTTCAGGTGCACTGTCCGTCGAGGGTCCCCGGGTTCCGACGGCTGTCCTTCCCACCTCACATGTCAATGTCCACAAGCCCAGTCTAATTTTAGTGTTCCCCAGTTAATCTTTCCACTCTCAACTGTTTGTTGCTTGGCACCCCCATCATTCTTTTTCCCTTACTTTCCTTGAATTAGTATTAGGCTTGCTTTTTTTTTTAGCTTTAAAATTTGCTCCGCAGCTGCTTAACTTTGACGATGTTTCGACTCAGTTTGGTCTTCATCAGGTCATTTGTTGCTACCCTGTTATTTCCTCTGTGTTTCCAGGATCTTCTGTGCTTTTTCGCTCTGTGTTTTCAGCATCTTCTGTGCTTTTCCCTGTTTGCATCCTCTGTGCTTTTTCTGTATGCATCTTGTGCATATCCCCTCTGTCCTGCAACATTATTAATTTCGATTAGGGATGTGCGGATCGATACTAAAGTATCCGATACTCCGATTCTGGTTATTTATGTTTTGGAATCGATACTGTCATCAAAGTATCGATATTTGAGTGAATTTAAGTTAGTAATTTGCTGGTCATTCTTCAAAAATTACGTTTTTTTCACCAGAACTACTTCTTCTTCCGCCAACCGTAGTGCGTGATACGGCACAATATAAATACCTTAACCCACCACTGGGGGCGCGCCGCGCACACTGGGCTCCCTGTTTATGCTGTCTTCTGCTGGAACCGGAAGCTCACGGTTTGGAAGTGCGAGCCGCGTGGCGTGCGCAGTACTAGTCGGCCATGTCTGAACGCAAACGGAGTCATGTTTGGAGCTATTTTAGTTCTTCTGTTAAAAACGATGCAGTTTGTGACACTTGTAGGAAGACTGTGAGGCATTGTGGTAACACAACTAACCTAGTAAAACATTTAAAAGTAAACCATATGAAAGAATATGATGACTTCATGGTGAAGAGGACAGAAGACCAGAGGAGCGGGCCAAGTGCTGCAGCTAGGGTGAAACAGACATCACTCGTGGAGTCCTTTGGTGCATCAGGCACAGGCAGGCATCATCCAGGTACAAAAGGAGAAAATATGGAGCTGTTTAGGACTGGAATGTTGTAGGCTTAGGTTTTCCGCTGTTGAATTTAAATTTAAACTGTATGGACTGCAATTAATATCAAATAGCAGCATAAATTTACTTACCCTATTTTTGTCAGGTGATATTTCATGTAGAGTAGATTGATTTAAAGCGGATTACATACACCAAGTGTTATTAAAATTTACACAAGGTCAAGAAAACATTCCATAGACAGAAACAAAGTTAATAACATTTTTCAGTTAAAGTTGCATTGTTTTATTCTCAATTAGTCAGCGTATTTTGACTTAATAATTAACTGAATATTTCATATGTAGGCATAAATAAATGTATTTATTGTGCATTTTATTGGCAATTTCAATTTGAGCCAAAGCATTTTATATAAAACAGGTGTATGTAAACTCCAATTTTCCTTTCTCCTCAGTGTAAGTTGCTGTATTTAATCATGTGCTATACCTTCATTTTATGTGCCCTTTGTATTTTATATTTGTAGACGATTCTCCAAGAGCAGCAACACTCACAAGATACCTAGGAGAGATGATTGTGAAGGACCTCCAGCCTATGTCCATAGTGGAGGATCAAGGTTTCCAACAATTTGTGAGAGCTCTTGACCCAAAATACAAACTTCCAGGAAGGAAGAAACTAACTGAGACTGTTCTTGTAAATATGTTCACAGAATGTAAAGAAAAAGTAAGAGCATCTTTGAAAAATGCTTCTAGTGTTGTACTAACCTCTGATATGTGGACATCAGTGTCCACAGAGGCATATTTGACCGTAACATGCCATCTCATTGAAAATTGGCAAATGAGGGAATTTGTGTTGGAAACCCATACTTTCCATGGAACACACACACAGCAGACAATATCAGCTTAGAGCTTAAGCGAATCACAGAAGAATGGGGCATTACTGAGAAGGTGGTGGCAGTTGTTACAGACAACGGTGCAAATATGGTTGCTGCAGTACACAAGGCTGGATGGAGGCATCATCCTTGTTTTGCACATACACTGAATCTAATTGTAAAAGACAGTCTAAAAGCTGTCCCTGAAGTTGTGCAGGTCCTGGAAAAATGCAGTGCAATTGTGTCATATTTTCACCACAGCAGTAAGGCCACAGAGAAGCTCAGAGATATTCAACAACAGTTGAAAGTGGCAGAACACAAGCTAATTCAGTCAGTAGAAACCCGCTGGAACTCTGTCTATTACATGCTGGAAAGGCTTTGAGAGCAAAATGAAGCCGTGACCACTGTCCTCTGCCTTTTAGGGAAGAACACATTGTGCTTGAATCAGGGAGAATTGTCCCTCATCAAGCAGATAGTTGATGCACTACAGCCATTTGAAGAAGTAACACGGGAAGTTTCATCTGAAAAACATATTTCAGTATCCAAGGTGATTCCACTTGTATCACTCATTCGCAGAGCTGTATCAGCTTGTGAACGTCAGAGCAACTCACTTGCCACACAGCTGGCACAGCAATGCCAGCGCAGATTCAGGGGTGTTGAAACCATTCACTGTCTAGCTGCCAGCACATTTGTGGATGTTAGGTTTAAACATTTTGGTTTTCGAGACAAAGACAGTGTTGAGGTTATGAAAATACGTCTTTGTGCTGAAATGCAGGAAGTCTATCAGGCAGGACAGTCAGCTGTCCCTCCAACTCCAGGTTCAGTCTCCACTGCTTGTTCTACCTCAGAAGAACCTTCTGCTTCAGTACCTTCTACCTCAGGGTATAACCAGAGCCCTACAGCATCAGGTTCAACTGCAACAAAAGGAGAGATATGGACAGATTTTGACAAGCAGGTTATGTCTAACCAACACCATCGCTCTGCTTCCACTGACGTATTAATTGAAGTACGTCGATACTCAGAGGAAAAATTAATTCCTCGAGATAAGGATCCACTACTTTGGTGGAAGGAGCATGAACAAACCTGTCCAGCTCTGAGTAAACTTGCTGTAAGATACCTGGGAGTTGTTGCTTCTTCAGTACCTGCCGAGAGAATCTTTTCAAAGGCGGGAGAGGTTTTGAGCAAAAGAAGGAGCAGACTCAAAGGGAAAACGGTCAATATGCTGTTGTTTCTCAACAAAAACATGTAATGCAAGTTAAGAGTTGAGATGTTTTCCAATGTTTTTCAATGTTCAACTTTTCAATGTTGTTGGGAATCATTTGTAAATAAAGGAGGAGGAGAAAGAGTAGTGAAATTTGTGTTTTATTTAAAGCTAAAATGTAAATATATTACTTTGTCTTTTAATTTTTCAAACAAAAAAATCTTTAAGCAAAGTATCGGTATCGGTATCGGCGATACTGGACCCAAATTTACTTGGTATCGGATCGGAAAGGAAATCAGTGGTATCGCACATCCCTAATTTCGATAGGCACCCCCAAAGCTTTTCCTCTTTCCATAGGCACCCCAAAAGCTTTTCCTCTTTCCATGTGATCAGCTCCTCTGTTTGTGAGCTTCTGCTTATCCTTGTGTTGGCTCCTCCCTTTTATAAGCCTCATTCACCGGTATCCGGACATTCTGTTTCTTGGCTTTAAAATGAAAACTAATTGGTTTTAATTAAGGGTGGG